AGATGGATTGGCAAAGTGGCAGCATCAATGGGCTCAAGCATGGCAACAATTGTGAGGTTGGCCCAGGACTGGGCAGTGTTTTGTTCTTTTATGCATAGGGTCGCTATGAGTCAATAACGACACGATGGCAACTAACAACAGCAACTTAATTCAATATTTTTTATTTTTGTGATGGATAGATTCTTTTTAATATCTGACTAATTCATTACTTAAAACAGAGTCATTTAAGAAGTTAAGTTCCAGGCCAAAAAAAATCTATTAGAGCACATTGAATTGAAATTTGACACATATTTCTCATATGATGCAGCATTGATCTTTTTTAAAAATTAGTTGTTTACATTCAAACTTGATCTTTGTCAGCTTTTTAAGTGTACACAAAACAGACTGGTTGCCATTTCAACTCATGCTAGCCCGTATGTTACATAGTAAAACCACTCCACAGAGTTCTTGTTTTTGTTTTTTATTCAAAGTATGAGACACAAAGTTTGGCCATCTTGGCCTCCAAGGAGAACTCTGGCTACACTTCTTCCAAAATGGATATAGCTGTAGTAGATAATTAATACATTGTTGTTGTTAAGTCAGTCTTGACTCATATCAACCCTGTATTGGGTTCCTCAGGAGTGGTTGGTGGGTTTGAACTGCCTTTTTTTTTTTTTTTTTTTTTTTAGTAGTCCAGTGCTTATGCTACAGTGCCACACCATACATAAAACTTTGGGATCTCATCAATAATTATTGCTTTAAAAATGCTTCTTATTTGCTGCTTTTGTAATTCAATAATTGGGGCAGTGGTGGCTCAAGGATAAAATTTCCACTAAACAGGTTTCTCTAAAGCTTCCAGACTAAGACAGATTATGAAGAAAGACCTGGAGATTGATCTACTTCCAAAATGTAGCCAATGAAAACCCTATGCATAGCAATGGGGTCACTATGAGTCAGGGGGCTGACTCTGCAGCAAACTACAATAGGTTATTGTTAATCTATTTTCACTGAGCCAAGTGCAACTCAATAGGACAGAGTAGAAATTCTCCATAGGGTTTGTAAGGATGTAATTTTTATGGAAGCAGACTGCCATATCTTTCTCCAATGGAGCAGCTGATGGGATCAAACTGCCAACATTTAGTTTATCAGCTGAATGCTTAGCCACTATGCTGCCTGGACAATTGATATTGTGAAAATTTCACGTTGAAATAACTTCTTAATCTTTTGGCCATTTTACCTTGATGCTGTCTCCATATGCCTCCTATATAACTTCTCTATGGTTTCTTTACTACTGTATCTTTTTCTGATCCATCCTATGTACCCTCCTAACTGTTGAAGGATTTGTCTTCCATCTTTTTAAACACTGGTGTCTGAAAGTATCCCTGGCAAGAAGTACATGTGATATTTCACCACTTCTTCCCATGCCATAACAAAGAGGCAAGATATGAGCATTTTAGTTCTCTGGTGGTGATGGCTGTGTGCCGTGGAGTCGGTTCCGACTCATAGCCACCCTGTACAGGGTTTCCGAGGCTATAAATCTTTACGGTGCAGAATGCCTCATCTTTCTCCCGTGGAATAGCTCATAGTTTCGAACTGCAGACCTTGTGGTTCGCAGCCCAATTCATACCCACTGTATGGAGCAAATGGGGCCTCTGAAGAGACTCACAACCCACAAATGAGCTCGTTACTAACAAGAATATTATGTCCTGAAATAACTTGTAAATGGGTCTGACTAATGACTATTAAAAACTGAATTGTTTTATTTTAAAGACAATATAAATATATATGTTGTTGTTGTTGCTGTCAGGTGCCATCGAGTT